ATTTTTCCACACATTTTGCCGTCCAAAATTTATAACGAATTTCACGGTGGAATTTCAGCAGGTATTAGAAATGTTGGGGGCGGAGTTGGAGGGTGTCAAGTGGTGGCAGGTTCAAGTGTGTCGAGACCCAGTGCACTTCTTCAAATTTTTGAGTTTCGTTACGCCTTACTACCATTGACCTATCAGATAGCAGCACTTAACTTTTGAGCTTGAAGCGTGAAATGCTTTTTTGTGTTGTCAGCTATTTTTTCGCTGCAGTTTTCGCGGCGGATGTTATCACCTCAACAACAACTGGTCACAGTTGATAACAGTTTTGAAGCATCGCTTTTTGATCTTGAAGTTTACTTCCTTCTTCGAAAAGAATTCAGCAAGGAATGCACAGCTCCTATTCTGTATGCTCGGTAGAGTAGCCATTAGCTCATGTACGTTTCTGAACACCAGGCGAAGGCTTTTACCTTATTTGTCATCCGAAATTTGAAATTAATCTATGACGTGTACATGGCGCAATCGTTCCGCTGGATCTTATACCTTTTACCGATTTGAGGAGTGATGACTTTCCATCTGCAGATATGTATGACACCTTGAGTTCCATTTGATTGCGTGTGGGGCAAAATTACTGAGCAACAATATGTTGATGACACTTCGGCATCAATACTCATAAATCATTATCGATAGAGGGTGGAACCAGGAAAAACGGTGCATCCTTATTCCAACAGGAGAAAACTTGCTTTTGTTGAAGTCGCTGTTAAACACATGGGCGACAGTCGCTGTGCAAGGGTCTCAGCTTCTTTTCTTAATCTCCCATCAACATATTTACCCCTTCAATAATTCCATTATTGGTAACGAGTACATGTTATTGTTTTCAAAGTTCGATAAAATATAAGGTTAGTTGAGAGTCATAGAAAAAGCAAGAAAATAAAGAAGAATAGGTCCTCTCCACGCGGGGGACAGCGTGAGGCGCAGCCGCGTCACGCTGTTGTCAGTATGTTGCCGCTATTCTAAACTTGATATTTTGGTGATATTTTCATGATGATTTCATGATTTTATTTTGATGATGATATTTTCGTGAAGGGATATTGACGTGGTGGCCTTATTTTGCCAATAAGGCAGCAGATTTTCCATTCTTCCGTTTTTTACTGGTAATGAGACTTTTTATCCTGCACCTTTCAGTTCTTCGTCGTTCCAACAGTATTCACAGTATGCTGTGTCATATCCGGTCTGCTGGCTACGATAGTGGTGTTAGGACGGATGTTCAGTACACCGATCGCCTATAAAGACTTCCTGAATATGCGTGAAAAGATGCTGAATCGGCAAGGTTTGTCAATGAATTCAAGCCTGTGCTGAGATCAAAGTGATAAGAGAGACTGTTGCAGATTCGATGGACTATGGCAAACGACAGCGTTCGTACTCGGGAACATCGTCGGTGTCGGTGACTTCTGAAGACTACCTGCCAAAACCACTGTGCAGGCGGCACTCAGTCAGTCACAACAGCCTTTGCTCACGACCACCAAGTGTGAATCGCAAGTACAGCTATGCCTATTCCCACTATAACGCCTGTGATTCTGATCACGACGAACAGCATTAACTCCTGTTCGCCTTCCTTCCTATTTATTTCTCTTCAATTATAACTATCAATTTATCGAAATCATGTCTTTTTTTCAACTGTGGCCACTAATTGTCAATGATACGTGTTCATATTGTACTCTGTATAACGTTACAAATGCCTCATTTGAATAGATTCTCTACGGGTTGAGATAGCTGAAGTTTGTCTTGTATCACACTGCTTTTGATATGTTTCTTTTCGGATGATGTATATGTGAAGGAATGAAGTAGTTCTGTAGAGCTCTTTACGCTCATCAGCGGCAACTAGTTATTGAAGCAACTTCCTCAAAGAATCTATTCAGCGGGTGGGATAGGGTAGCCCACGAGAGTCGTCACGAATATGGCCTTTGTCGTCTCGGCTCGAAGGTGCGGCGCAATGATCACCTACGAATCAGCTTTTGGCAGATTAGCTCGCATAGATTTTGACGAGTTACGACACGCGACACTCATGACGCCGCACGTGGAGGTGGACATTTCAAAACTGGTGGCGAGTTACTTGGACCTTGAAAGTACGCAAGTTCGTACAAATGCTGCGCTCATGTCCTCGTTCTTAGGTTCACGGCAGATCCGTCGGTTAGGGCTACATCAGGTTTCGTTTGGCTTTTTTTTTCATGTTTTCTCACCCAGCATCCGCAACTCACTCGGACGCGCTGTGACACACAAATCGTCTGGGGGGGTTGGGGCTTTGGGCTTCTGTGAAAGCGCGGACGGACTTTTAGTATCAAATGTTTCAAAACATTGACGTACAGCGATTATCCGCTGTTTCCAGAAAATACATCTTATTCATGTAAGAGTATTGAGAATTTCCCATAGGGTCGTGAAGATTCGACAGAGATGGAGTTTGTATCACACATGCTCTAAGCCTGAGTCACTTTCGAACATCTCTGCTGGTTCCCCACGCTTCCCTCAAGTAACCGTCCAGCATATGCACCGGTACCGTGGATTGGGTCTAGTGTTCTAGTAAATTAAGAAGCGGCAGTAGCCCAGCCTAAACGATTCGGCAGCTCTTGACAGCAAAAATCCAACCTTTCCCGAATTCAATTTTTTTGAGATGGCGAAACACGAGAAGAGCTTCACGCTGGGAACCAAATCCCAATAATACCAGGGTCAGTGATGAAGACAAACATCAACAACTTGATGGCGCTAAAGTGAAATGGAAGCGATGTAGAACAAAGTATTTGTAAGTCGATCAGCTCCACCTTGCGAAGAAAATTCATGAAAATTCGAGACTTGTAGCAGCAGTTCTTTCAGATACACCATGTGGCCTTGTATCGTGCCAGCGAACGAGCCTTGGCTTCCCTGTCTAGTTCACCTCACGAAGAAAAATCTTACTCTAATCACTGCGATGTCAAAATCGGCATTCAATTTTTCTTCTACGAGAACTCAATGGAATTCTATAAGAGAGGCACGAAACGTCCCCTTGCATTGACGATGTGTTGCTACTGATGGTGGTATAGTAAATTGGATAATATCAGAGAATAAAACAAAAGAAATGAATTCGCTCAGAAATCGGGTGACGACCTAATACTACCGCAATAAACTTGAAGTGTGTAAAGACATTCAGGGTGTCATCCAGCATCGAGCGACATTGTAGCCAATGCTTCAACGAAAACCTACTATTAAGTTGTCCAGAAAGTAATCCGTTTTGATGTGCTGTACTTTATTAGACATTCTTGCGGGAGAACTTTTTCTTGATGAAGCCCATTTCATTCTCTTTCTTACACTACCTCTTTCTTACACTACTACTGTTTTTGAAAGAACTCGGCCTCAGCTTTTTCAAAGGTTTGAATCGAAGACGTCAAAGCATGTGTTTGAGCAGGTTCACTTCTATGAGTTGGAAAGAGTGCTGTGCAGACAGCTCGGAATAGGATTGCTGTGTGGGGCTAAGGATGTTCAACAAATGCACACTGCACCAATGGCTCCTAAGTTTCAATGTAGGGAAATCTAGATTCGAAGTGAGGGGATTACGGACGACATTCTCCTCAGCCTTCTGAAGACCCGGCAGAAGAAGATTTCCAAACAAGTGTACGACGGCCAGCAGCATAACCTTGAGCAAGCATACTGAAATTTTCGGAGCGCCTGAAGGTACTTGGGAAGGTAAGAAAGCTGGACAAGTGGGTACCGCATGAACTGACTGAGCAGCAGCAAAGTCACCTTGCAGGGATCTTGGCACAACTTTTTTTACTCAACAAAAATGTCCGACTTTGGAACATTTCGTCATCTCTCGACAGGAAATAGGATTCTTTGTGGCGACGAACATCAAAAACTTCTCCC